GAGAAGATCCAATAAATAAAATGCAAAATGTTAAAAAACAAAAAAAAAAGTTTGGGCAGGCCAGGGTGGGGCGCTCGTGAGACGTTCTTTAAGTGTGTCGAAGGCAGCCTGTTCTTCAGTATCCCAGCGCCACTTAACGCTCTTCCTTAAGTGCTTAATCACCGGCTGAACGATAGTCGCAAAGTTCTATACGAATCTGCGGTACCACAATGCCATACTTCGTCATCGTCTCAGTTCTTTCAGAAAGGTAGGTGATCGTAACTCCCTTACTGCTGCTACTTTATCGGGGTCTGTATGAATACAATCTTCGCTTACCATGTGGCCAAGGTACCTAAGTTTTCTTTGAGCGTTTCTCCTTATTAATGCGTAGGTTAGCAGCCCTGAGTCTCTGAAATACCTCTCGTAGGTTTCGTGTATGGTCTGCTAAGTCTCTCCCAATTACTAAGATGTCATCCAAATACGCAAACACAAACGGCAAATTCGGGCCCGATGACACTATCTATGGCGCGTTAAACGTAGCAGCTGCGGAGTGTAACCCATGGCATGACACGCCAATGGAAGAGACCCCGCTCCGGGTCTGTGAATGCAGTATACTGTTTACTGTCTCATGCCATGGGTATTTGCCAGTAGCCACTTTTTAGGTCCAATGTCGACAAGACTCGGGCCTGGCTGAGTCTCTCTAGGATATAATTAATACGAGGTGACAGATACGCGTCTGGTATTGACCTCGCGTTTAATTGTCGGAAGTCGAGATTCATCCGCCACTCGTCATTCTTTTTGCGTACTAAGACGATGGGTGCACTTTTGGAAGGTTATATCTGTCCTGCAGTTAACAACTCGTTCACCTGGTCGTCAATAACTCGTTGCATCGCTGGATTCTTTGGGTAGTATCATTGTTTCACCGGTCGGTCGTCTCGCATTGTGATCGTGTGTTGTGCGATATGGGATACCCCTGACATCCCCTCGAATCCTACCAGCTCTTGTTGGAGGAATCGATCTATGTGTTCTTGATCCCCTGCTGACCAGTCCACTTCCCGCCGAGGGGGCGTGTCTTCTTCTTCCTAGTTTTTCTGAGTTCCCTGGTTTTCCTATATTCCTTGGTTTTCCTGTGTTCCCTGGTTTTCCTGTATTCCTTGGTTTTCCTGTGTCTTCTCTACTTCCTCATGCTCGTTTTCCATGTGTTTCTCGGTCCTCTCTCCGATTTCCGTTATCTCCCAATTCGCCTTACGCACGTCTTTCATGTCGACGGTAGATCCCTCTTGGCTGCCTTCTGCCCTGAGCCCCTGTAAATTAGCCATGAACGGCCGGTTCCCTGCGTGGTGGTTCTCATTGGTGCGGGTGGTTTTTGGTCCCGCCTCGCGGAGGTGTAGTCGAGCCCGTCCACGTCGTATTGTAGTGCCGATGTCGGCGACTAATACTTGCACTACGATCTTCTCGTCTTCTACGCGCAGGGGTGCGCCTATTCCCGGTTGTCGGGTACTCTCGTCCCCAACTGCTCCCGGGTTGGTCGAGGACGCTGGTCGTTTCCCTTCTCCTCTATAATCCCAACACACCAACCGTCGGGGGTTTCGGCACTCCCTCGCAAAGTGACCCTCTGCGCCACAGTTGAAACAAATCCGAATTTCGGGAGGTGTTTGTAGCGCCTCCTGGTTAATCATCCTATTCCAGATTTCTTCCGGTGGTATGATGCTGCGACGAGGCTGTGAGGGGGCTTGCGGGTTTCCTCGGAAAGGAACCTGGATGGGGTTCACCGGCATCTGTGACCTCGGAGACTCTCGAGTGTTCCCGTGAGTTTGGCCGAGACTCCGGTATGAGCGATCTTGGGACTGTAACCGTATACGGTCGCGATGTTGTTTGCTCTCAAACTCGACTGCGAACTGTAAAAGCTGGCCTAAAGTCTCAAAGTCGCCACGTTTTACGTACATCTGGTATGCGGGGAGGGAGTTTTCGTAAATCCTGTCTAACTATTTCATCTGATCGTACCCTCATTTAACGATAACATAACATAATCCTAGAAGCCCTCTCCCTCACGTTGGTAACGAGCTATGATGTCGTCTTCTAATCGGCGAAAATAATGTGAGGGTAAGAAAAAGTCTAAGAACTCCCGCCGGAGTACTGGCCAAGTGGCCCCCTGCAGTTGGCTGGTCCTAAACCAGCGGGAGGGCCTGTCTGTAAGAGTTTCTGTCATAACTCTTGGTAGATGGGCTAAAGGAAGGGCGTACGACGTAGCCTTTTTCTCCAGCTCCTCTAAGAACCCCAAGGGGTCAGTATGGCCGTTGAATTTGAGTCCCCATTTTCGGACTTGCTCTGCTATGACACCGTGCGCTGTGACCCGGCCGAAATTTGCTCCCCAAGCCATTTCGTTTTCCAGTGTAAGATTACATTTGGTATTATTACGGTCGGTGGCTCCCTCCGTAGCAATTGCTCTTTCGCTGTTGACAGGCTCCCGCTTCTAGGGGTGAAAAATCCTAGTACTTGTAATTGGATTGACCTGGGGTCTGGTCGGCTTCTTCTACCCGTTTCTCGTCATCGTTCAATCCCCCAGTCGCGAAGCCGGCTTCTAATCGGACCAATCGGGCCCTTTGAGAAGGAGAGAGCTCACCTTCTTTGACGATTTCTGCAAAACGCCTTTTCATCTCGTCCACCTTGCCTGAGCCGTCGACTCCGAATTCCTGTGCGAGGATGAGTCATTCATCCTTCTTTAGCGTATAGATCCAGAGAGTCCCTATGCGACTGTCTGGTGTACCCAAATTGTGTCATGTATCAAATCCTGAATGTATGTTTCTGTCTAGAATAGCACCACTCACGCAACCTGAAGATCCATATCACCCTACAATCGAACTTTCAATTGACTCGAGTACAGTTACAGAAGAAAAATCAGAAAAATCAACCAAACGAATACATTGTTTTTGCAAGGCAGACTTTCTGAGGCTAAATATTTTTATTTCTGGCTTTAATTGTTCTGATCTTTACTTATGCAATAATATGTCCGATGCAGTTAATATTTTTTACACTGCAATAAACTCATTTTGTTAATTCCTGTGTTCCGTGGTACAATCCGTCAATCTCCAATACATTATCTTGGTTTAGCAAAGAGTTGACACACTTAAGAAATGTAAAGTCCATACTTTTTAGTAAATATTCAAATACCGGTTCTCCATCTATTTCTGCTATATATTTAAGTGCTCGGTCAAGATTTACCGTTTTAAACCATTTTAAGGTCCAGTTCTCTCACGAAATAGTTTTATAACTTATACTTTGCCCAATTTTTTCAAACGACTTACTCTACTTTAGATCATTCATCACAGCCTTATTGTTACACCATATCCAAGTCAAACCTCATATTCAGTCCCACTTTAACAGAAAGCTCTTTTCTTTTGGATCTTCATCGTAATAAGCCTGTTTATGCGACAGGTCCCGATGGTATTCTGTGGTGCGTGCTTAGGTATTGCGATAAGGCCTTATGCAAACCTCTTCACAAGCAGTTTACCTTATCTCTAGAAACTTCCCAATTTTCAAATATTTGGAAGGAATCATTTGTTTTTCCTCTTTACAAAAAGGGTAACAACTTAGAAGCCAGAAACAAAAGAGCTATATCTAAGTTGTCAGCTATTCCTAAGCTTTCTAAAAAAAATCATTACTTAACATTTGCAGCACTTTTGTAGATCAATCATTTCTGCATGCCAACACAGTTTTATTAAACGTAGATCCCCCTTCTGAAGCTTACTACATTTGTCATAAAGGGATTTAAAAGTAGTTTTCAAACAGACGTCATTTACAATGACTTTAGTAAAGCATTTAACTCTGTAAATCACTTACTTCTTGTTCAAAAACTTGACTTGTTTTTTACATTAGTGATGCACCCGACGAACCCTACCTCGATTTGAGAAGCGCTTGGCCGGGACCCACTGTAAAGCGAACTCTGGAAAGTAATGTTCGTGTTCTAGAAAGTTGTTGAAAATTTAGGAGACCAACAGACGTCATTTACATTGACTTTAGTAAAACATTTAACTCTGTAAATCACTTACTTCTTGTTCAAAAACTTGACTTGTTTTTTACATTAGTGATGGACCCGACGAACCCTACCTCGATTTGAGGAGCGCTTGGCCGGGACCCACAGTAAAGCGAACTCTGGAAAGTAATGTTCGTGTTCTAAAGAGTTGTTGAAAATTTAGGAGACCAACGGTATTGAATGGATGGATGTTTCGCAGAAAAACCTTGGAAACGGGCTATCAGGATAGAAAAACATTAAACAATCTATATATATAAAAATGGTGCAAAAAATGTACGACATCGCAAAACAAGGGAACGGCTGGGCCGATTTGGCTCAAATTTTTTTCAGTTGTTTGTAATTGCCAGAAGAAGGTTAATGCATAAGAAAATTTTGGAAAAACCTTTTTCATTGTTGTACATAAAACTGTTTAAACAGCAGGCTTTGAAAATAATGCCTTCATTGTTGTACATAAAACTTTAAAAAATCGAGTTAACGAAACATTGCCAAAGTTTTAATTGGAAATAATGCCAGCTTTGAGATCAAGTCTTGGACGGCGTTCACGAAATGCGATACATTCTCAGAATGTCCGTAATAGTCAAAGGCAAGAGGTACGTGCAGAAATAAATGCATCGGCACGCGCCCGAATTGCACAGCTTAGCGCTGCACAAAGACCACCTCAAGCCCGACAAAATGTGAGTAGAAGAAGACCAGCCGCAAATGATAACTTGCATCGCGCTGCATTCGCATACAATTCCGAAACACCCTACAAAGATCATAGCTGCGTTGTTATTGGTTCATTGTCTGTTCATTGTTTCGATTGGAAACCCCCGGCTTATGTTGTGCAGGTGGCAAAATTAAATTGACCGTTTTGGCTCATCCACCAGAGCCATTGTATTCGCTACTATAAGGAAATTCAGCCCAATCAAACAGCTTCCTAAAGCTTGCAAAAAAATATAACGGATGTTTTCAAATGACGTCATTTGGAGCCGAGGATGATTATCAACCAGGCTACAATCCGAGTTATAAGGTAATGGCGTCGCTTTATTATCTCATTTTTCAAAATTGCATCCCAACATTCAGATTCAAGGGCAAATTCACCATCGAGCGGGCGCTTTGTTACCACCACCAAACAAATATCATAAATTGCTTCAGATCTACTTCATTGGTGATTCGGAAGATGAACTAAATCAGCGTTGTGCAATTTTCAGTGCAACTAAACGTGAAATTATACAACAATTGCAAAATCTTCTGCATGAGCGTAATGGTCAGATTGTTCAAAACTGCATTGGATACAATGCATTCTGACGTCCACAAAATCATTATCAGCGCTGACAAAAGGCCCACTGGAAGCCATGCAAGACAATTTAATGCTCCCACTATTAATGAAGTCGCAGTGGTGATTGTTGGCGAGAATGTGGAATCACGCGATATTGTTCTCAAGCGTCGGGATGATGGCCAATTGCAGCGAGTTTATGAGACTCATCGGTCATATGATGCACTTCAATACCCGTTGATGTTCTGTCGTGGAGAAAATAGGTATCACTTCAACATAGAGATGGTCAATCCAACGACAGGTTTGTTCACAATCCATCACTTCTTTTTGTATCTACAACTAAGTTTGAATTCAAATTTTAGGAGAAGAAACTATTAAGAAGGTCAGCTCTATGAATTTTTATGCGTATCGATTGATGATTCGACTAGATGTTGACAATCATCTGTTGAGATACCGCAGTTTGTTTCAACAGTACTGTGTCGACATGTACGTCAAAGTAGAAACGGAGCGTCTCAATTTCATTCGTGACATGCGTGACGCCATCGCTACTGAAGGACACGCGGCCAGCATCGGTTGTTTGACCATTCTCCCAGCTACTTATGTTGGAAGCCCGCGCCATATGCATGAGTACGCTCAAGATGCGATGACGTATGTCCGTAATTACGGACGCCCGGATTTATTCATCACGTTGATATGCAATCCGAAATGGCCCGAAATTACGAATCGGTTGCTTCCAGGACAAACATCTAGCGATCGACCTGACATCACTGCACGAGTATTCAAGCAAAAGTACTTATGAATTACATCGTTAAGCAGAAGGTTTTTGGCGCAGTTCGTTGTTGGATGTACTCAGTTGAGTGGCAGAAGCGTGGCTTACCACATGCGCCTTTTCAGCTTAGGATGTTCATCAAGATCCGACCAGATCAAATTGCTTCGATTATTTCAGCCGAAATACCAGAAGTTTCACTCTGGGGTTATATGAAGTCGTGAGATTGGGGCGAGACAAAGATTGCCGGGTGCTCTAGTAAACATATATTATATAGAACTAGGCGACTCATAACCCTTAAGATTTACAAAAAACGACACTGCAACTAGTCGGCGTCAAATAAAGATTATTCAGGGATTCGGCGGAGAGCATTACGCTTTGACAGTCAAAAGGACCAGTACGAGCTGTACCAAGAACGAGAACTTACCGCTTCTTAGTTGGCCATTAGCAAGACTGAGCAAGCTAATCTTCGGAGCTGATGGCGTTGCAAGAGTTGCTGAGCTTAAGACCGCACTGGGCACCACAGCTAGGGCTGTTGCCAATCTATGTCTGCAGCCTAAGATGGATGTTGGAGACCCGTCCCCTCCAACGGGGGGAGTACGTCCAGCTAAGCGCTTAGCCAGACAGCGCAACACAGCTGAGCTTTCGGAGAGTGAGAGGAAGAGCGCCGCATAACAGCTCTATCTTCGGCTGCGTCCGATCGTAATCTATGTTCAGTTTCTAACTTTCGCTACTTCGTTTCGCATGCAAACGGCAAGTATTTTGGCCTGCCGTCCTTGCAATCAACACAACATTGAATTTGATCTCATAAAACTCTGTATAGTTGCCAATAAACAACGAAATATTTATATTGTTAATTCGGACAATTTGTTTGTATTAAGTGGTTTAATTATTGGATTCTTAAGCGCCGTATTGGCCAACAGTGCTAGTGAAAAGGCTCACTCTAGCCGCCACAATGACTTCTGAGAGCCATACTAAAAAAGATCCCTCTTTGCTACTGACATTGTGCCTTAAAAGTACCATAGTTTGAAGGCTAGCAGGTAATAGCAGTTCATATTACACATTTTGGACGCCACCGATTCACACATTCGGCAAATAAAAGAGTTAGACTGAATCCACTTGAATCCGGTATGTTCGACTCCACGAAACACAGGTGAACTCTAATCGGGGCTCGTTGTTAATACACTGAATAACCACTACGTTTTATGAGCTACACATTTATAGACCGGTCACAAACATTGATTTTTTTTGTAATACATACTTTGAAGATAATAAAAAGCCAAACTTTAATAAATTCAATAAAAATTGCAAATTTCCGAGGAACTCGAAATCAATGAATTTGTAAAGCTCCATGCAAAATCAAACAATGTGTTTGTCCGTTCATAGCTGATGATCGGCTCATCGTAGAGCTTTTAAAAAGCTTCGATAAATATAATCAAAGCATCTGTTATCGACTTGTGAAAAAATATCAACGCTTTTGAAAATTTGAATTAAATGCCGCTAGTGAGACCAAATAGCCCACTGTGCTCTGGGACGTTTTTGGGGGATATTGGTACTCTAAGTACTCTTGCTACCCTCACCTTGATTGTTTTGAGATGTTTTAGGATAATAATGATTTCCTGAATTATTCTGAATTTATTCTGTCTTTGTTGGTTGTTATTATGTCTATTTTGATAGTTATTATTTTGGAATCAGCCCCCTTGGTTATTATTTGAATTTGTATTTAAGTACGATTTTGATGGTATAAAATCTTGAGGTTCATTTTTTTCTTAAGAGTTTTGGGACATATACGAACGATTATTTATTCATTTATCTTCAAAGATTCCTATAGCTTGGGCAGCTTGTTTTAATGAAAGGGGAGACGAAATATCATATTTACTCAACGTAATAAATTGTTTGACTGGTAATTTTTCGCGAATCACTTCAGCTAATGTATCACTCAATGTCCTTAAAACTAGAACTGTGTTTGATGGATTACTGTCTGTAGCAAGCAGTCATACACACATGTACATACACATTACATAGGTGAGTGTAGACCTGTTTTCAAATACCTCCTGAGTTTTTCCAATTAGAAAGCCTTAAACAGCCCTGAAAAGGTAAACAAAGTGAACAGCGTGATCCCCTTAGGAGGCGGTACGTACTAGGGTGGGTCTGTGCGTTGAGTACACCATATTTTAGCGCTTATATCAATTAAAACTTGTGCTCCACCGAGGGTAGAGGGGGGAGGGGCCACCAAGACTCTGTTTTCTCCCGCTCTCTTCCCACTGGGAAAACAAAAACAAGTGGACAAACAGCTGATCACTCCGATAGTGCTGGAAAGCGTTCAAACCACATCCAGAATCGGTAACAGAAACCAGCCGCTACTATCAGCTAGGAAAAATTGCATAATTCTAGGCCGAGCTCAACCAGTAGAAGATATTCAACTCGTAGCAGTCAGCTTTTGAAAGGGTTGAAGCGTAGAGTTCAAAAGCGAAGGCCGAACTTCTCCACTAGTCTAGATAAGGGAATTAGGGGCAGCAAGTCAAGGATCCGACAAATTCCAACCGCCCGCTTAGGTGCCGGTGCCTCAGCAAACGGGGCTCTGGGGACCGAAAAGGGGCGGTATAACCCCCAACGTTAGAAAGTCTAGGAGAAATCTGAGACCAGCGAGGGAACCCATGTCGCGGACGTTGAAAGACCAATGGACAAGGCAAACCCCTTCGCAAAAAGCTTAGCGATGACCAGATCGCCAACGTTGCAGGCTCAGCATAATGTTGAACAGCAGTGTAGTATGTTCACATATCGAATGCACACTGTACTCAGTGTTACGCATCGATTTAAGTACAGACACCTTATTTGGCATTTTGTATTTGGCCACAATAACAAAGCACAAATATATAAATCTAGCAGTTCCCGAGTGCCCGGTTATATGATCGCCCTCGAATGCGTGGGAACTGCAGTGTAAGCATATTTGATATGTGCGACCGCTCCGACGGCCAAGTGAACATAGTATCTCTCTCTCTCTCATATATAAAGACAATTATACATAAGCGTCGTCCGCTGCTCTGCCGGCGTCTCTGCCGACATAGCCGGCCGATCTTAGCTTTATGCAAACATGTAATAGAATTAAGAAATCAGAATTGAAAATAAAAAGCTTGAGTCGCTCCCAATTCAACAACAATTTTTTAACAAAGCCTCATAAAGGAAACATAACACATGGCGACCGTGACTAAGGTTGTAATCGATAAAAACAAAAAACATATAATTTAATGTGATAAATGTGCGTGTGAGTGCGAGTGACGGAAATAAAATGCACAAAAAGAATTTGAAAAATGCGAAAACAGTGCAAATATAATAAAGACAGCACAGAAAATTATAACAAGAAACAACAAAATTTACGAGAAACATAAACTTTTGAAGCAACCAACAACTATAACAACCAACGACACCTGTGCGATGACCGGCACCGGTACCGCCTGAGCCCAGAGGCCCCGGACAACGAAAATTCGACAAGTGTGGAAGGAATGGCAAATCCTTCTACACCAACGCTGGAAATATATGAGTGCGGAAGGCAATCCGCCTTCTTCACCTTCGTGGGCGGCACCTGCTCCTATTGAGCAAAGGGATGCACAGAGATTAGAAGTGTATCCCAACGATAGATGAAATAGCCTGTGCAGCCAGCACCGGTCCCGTTCGGCGCGCCAAGCCGGACCACGGAGAAGTGAACCGGCAGCGCTTCCAAGAGCGCCCAACATTACTTTTTTTTATATAAATTTAAGCATCTGCAATGCAAAAATAATATTAATAATATTGTACAGACCAGGCAGTTTCTAGCTGCGGGTCTTCATTTTTTTTACCTAGGTAGGGATACCTGTAAAATAAATAAATACCTCCATACAAAAAGAAAAATTATAAATGCCTAAATCAAGAAAAATAAGTAAAAAAAAAGAGGAGGACAGAAAAATTTCCTAAATCTCAAGATAAAGGAATTAAATAGGCAACTTTATGATACAAAATCAACCCCAGTACCATGGGAAGAGAACTTAAAAATTAAAGATGAATTAGAAAACACATATAGGGAATTACAAGCTTATAAAAATAAGCAGGACATGAAAGAAGCGAGGAAGCTTAAGTGCCCTCCTGATTGTAAAGGTCCTTTCGAAAACCCTAATTGTGAATATACATGTTTAAACAAGAGAGAACGCTATAGTCGGGTGCCCCGACTATCAGATACCCGTTACTCAGGTAAAGGGAGTGCGAGGGAGATGGAGATAGAAACTTTGATCACGCATAACTTTTTAACGAATGGTCCGATTTGAAAAATTTCTTCTACATTTCGATAGGTATTGATAAACACAATAAAACTGCATTTTTACTTTTCCGAAATATTTAAATTTTTAAAATCGTATATAAGCGATTGTGGGCGTTAAAGGGGGCGTGGCACCTTTTTGAAATAAACTTGCGCTGCGTAGGAACTCCTAGAATCTGCATGCAAAATGCCAATCTTCTAGCTTTTATAGTTTCCGAGATCTCAGCAATCATACGGACAGACAGACAGACAGACGGACAGACGGACAGACGGACATGGCTATATCGACTCGGCTAGTGACCCTGATCAAGAATATATATACTTTATAGGGTCGGAAACGCTTCCTTCTAGCTGTTACATACTTTTGCACGAATACAATATACCCTTTTACTCTACGAGTAAGGGGTATAAAAAATGATATACTAATTTAATGTACTGTAAAATTTTATATACATGAAAGTCTCATTTAAAAGCAATTCAATATCCAAAACAGACCCCACAAACGAGACAGAAAAAATACCCAATATGGGATTAGTAGACGTTAAGTCAGTGGATTCCACTGCTAACGTAATAAATAAAATTGAATCACAAAATATTGATTTCAAATCAACGAATATTCTACTATCAATAATTGTTTTCTTTATGAGCGCATTTATTTTATATAAGGCCTATATGTTCCACAACAAATGTGTACCAAAGAGAGCCATTAACAGAAGCCAGGCTAATGATCTGGATAAAATCTAATTTAACAAGCGCCAAACAATTATTAATAATAAAATACCCGTTAAAAAAAAATAAATAAAAATCAT